TTGCCTGGCCCGCTTTGGGTCCGGAGGCGTGCCTGAAGACCCCCCGTGTGCACCAAAAGTCACCTCTTCTCCTGACTTTCTCCTCAGCCATTGGGACCAAGAGAGAGAGAGAGAGACAGAGGTGCAGATGCCCACCTTTCCTGAAGGTAGGCGCAAAAACAAAGGAGGGAGCGGAGGTGGGAGATACCTCCAGCCGGAGGGGCTCTCTCTCTCTCTCTCTCTCTCTCTTGGTCCCAATGGCTGAAGAGAAAGTCAGGAGAAGAGGCGACTTTTGGTGCGCACGCTGGGGTCTTCAGACACGCCTCCGGACTCGAAGCGGGCCAGGCGCGGCGGCTCCGCCCTTTGGCCCACCCGCGGATTGGGGAGAGGAGAGGAGGCGAGTGGAGCGCCGGGGGATCGGGAAAGGGAGCCGGTCATGGGGAAGGGATCGAACGTGGAGAACGATTGAGCGCTGGCTCTGCTCGTGCACCCGGTGGCCGGGTGGAGCAGGAACGAGAGGGGCTAGGTGAGGCTCAAGGGTCCGGCCCCTTTGGGAAGAGGATCGCCTGGCAGCGAGGCAAGAAAGCCGAGGCTCCCCCCGGACTGCTAGGGCTGTTGTGAGCTGAGGGGGCGCTCCTCAAGTGGCGGTTGAGGGGCATTTACAGAGGTGCTTCTGCGCCCCTGGCAAAAAAAGTGTTCTGCGACCGCTTACTTCTCATAATGGACGAGCCGCCCCTGTTGGCAGGACTGAAGTCCGACAGGTCAGAGGTTTGAATCCAGGGAGAGGACAGGAGGACAGGAGCAGGATTCAAAGCGATCTTGACAGATTAGAGAGATGATGGGCCAAAACTAACAAAATGAAGTTCAACGGGGACAAATGCAAGAGCCTCCACTTAAGCAGGAAAAAATGAAATGCAAAGATACAGAATGGGGGACAAGGCCTGGCTCATGTGAAAAAGATCTTGGAGTCCTTGTGGATATCAAGTTAAACATGAGCCAACAATGTGATGTGGCGGCAAAAAAAGCCAATGGGATTTTGGCGTGCATCAATAGGAGCATAGTGTCTAGATCTAGGGAAGTAATGCTACCCCTCTATTCCGCTTTGGTTAGACCACACCTGGAATATTGTGTCCAATTCTGGGCACCACAATGCAAGAGAGATGTTGACAAGCTGGAATGGGTCCAGAGGAGGGCGACTAAAATGATAAAGGGTCTGGAGAACAAGCCCTATGAGGAGCGGCTTAAAGAGCTGGGCATGTTTAGCCTGAAGAAGAGAAGGCTGAGAGGAGATATGATAGCCATGTATAAATATGTGAGAGGAAGCCACAGGGAGGAGGGCAAGCTTGTTTTCTGCTTCCCTGGAGACTAGGACACGAAACAATGGCTTCAAACTATAAGAAAGGAGATTCCATCTGAACATGAGGAAGAACTTCCTGACTGTGAGAGCTGTTCAGCAGTGGAACTCTCTGCCCTGGAGTGTGGTGGAGGCTCCTTTTTGGAGGCTTTTAAACAGAGGCTGGATGGCCATCTGTCAGGGGTGATTTGAATGCCATATTCCTGCTACTTGGCAGAATGGGGTTGGACTGGATGGCCCATGAGGTCTCTTCCAACTCTTTGATTCTATGATTCTTATGCTGGACATCGCTGGGTTCATTAGTTAGTGTCCTAGATACATGAGAGAAGCCTCCCACAAGGGTAGTAAAACATCAAAACATCAAGGCGTCCCCTCAGCAATGGCCTTGCAGACAGCCAATTCTCTCACACCAGAACCGACTAGCACAGTGGTTCTCAACCTTCCTAATGCCGCGACCCCTTAGTACATGTCCTCATGTTGTGGTGACCCCCAACCATAACGTTATTTTTGTTGCTGCTTCATAACTGTAATTTTGCTACTGTTATGAATCATCATGGAAATATCTGATATGCAGGATGGATTCTCATTCACTGAACCAAATTTGGCACAAATACCTGATTCACCCACATTTGAATACTGGTGGGGTTGGGGGAAGATTGATTTTGTTACTTGGGACTTGTAGTTGCTGGTATTTATAGTTCACTTACAATCAAAGAGCATTCTGAATTCCACCAACGATGGAATTAAACCAAACTTGGCACACAGAACTCCCATGACCAACAGAAAATACTAGGTTTGATGGGCATTGACCTTGAGTTTTGGAGTTGTAGTTCACCTATCTCCAGACAGCACTGTGGACTCAAACAGTGATGGATCTGGACCAAACTTGGCACGACTATTCAGTATGTCCAAATGTGAACACTGGTGGAGTTTGGGGAAGGGGAGGGAAGATAGAAAGGAAGAGAAGGAGGGGGAGGAGAGGAAGGAAGGAGAGGGAAGGAGAGTGGGAGGAAAGGAAGAGATAAAGGAAGAGAAGAATGGAAGAGAAGGGAAGGGGAGGGAAGGAAAAAGCAAGAGGAAGAGCAGGAGGAAAAAAATTCCCCAGGAGGAAAGGAGGAAGGAAAAAGAGAAGGGAGGGAGGGAGGGAGGGAGGGAGGGAGGGAGGGAGGGAGGGAGGGAGGGAGGAAGGTAATAATGATAATAAACAACTTTATTTATATCTCGCCATCATCTCCCCCAACGGGGACTCAGGGTGGCTTACATGAAGCCAAGCCCAGACAGCAAATTACAATACAGTAAAATACAACAAAATAAAAAAGGAAACGCAAGCAGCAACACAGTACAATACAAAAAACCATGATAAATACAATAAGCAAGGAACACAAAACATAAAAGTGCAATGAACAAGGAAGGAAGGTAGGAAGGAAGGAAGGAAGGAAGGAAGGAAGGAAGGAAGGAAGGAAGGAAGGAAGGAAGGAAGGAAGGAAGGAGGAGAGGAGGAAGGAAAAATAAGGACAGGAGGAAAGAGAGAAAGAGAAGGGAAGGAAGGATAGAAGGAAGGAAAAAAGGAAGGAGAGGAGGAAGGAAAAATAAGGACAGGGGGAAGAGAAGAGGAAAGGAGAGAAGGAGGATGGGAAGAAAGAAAGGGATAATGAAAGAAAAAATGGAAGTAAAGTGAAGGAAAGAGAAGGAAGAAAGGAAGGGGAGGAGCGGGAGGAAAGTATAGAAGGAAGGAAGGAAGGAAGGAAGGAAGGAAGGAAGGAAGGAAGGAAGGAAGGAAGGAAGGAAGGAAGGAAGGAGAGGGAAGGAGCGTGGGAGCAAAGATAGGGATAAAGGAAGAGAAGCTTGGAAGAGAAGGGAAGGAAAGAGAAGTAAGAAAGGAAGAGAAGGAGTGGGAGGACAGCAAAGAAGGAAGGAAGGGGAAGAGAAGAGAAGAAGGATGGGAGGAAAGAAAGGGATAAAGGAAGAGAAAAATGGAAGTGAAGCAAAGGAAAGAGAAGGAAGAAAGGAAGAGGAGGAGCGGGAGGAAAGTAAAGAAGGAAGGAAGGAAGGGGAAGAGAAGAGAAGAAAAGATAAGAAAAGAGAAGGAGGTTGGGAGGAAAGAAAGGGATAATGGAAGAGAAAAATGGAAGTGAAGCGAAGGAAAGAGAAGGAAAAAAGGAAGAGGAGGAGTGGGAGGAAAGATAGGGATAAAGGAAGAGAAGAATGGAAGCGAAGTAAAGAGAAGGAAGAAAGGAAGAGAAGGAGTGGGAGGAAAGCAAAGAAGGAAGGAAGGGGAAGAGAAGAGTAGGAGGCTGGGAGGAAAGAAAGGAGTAAAGGAAGAGAAGAATGGAAGAGAAGGGAAGGAAAGAGAAGGAAGAAAGGAAGAGGAGGAGTGGGAGTAAAGCAAAGATGGAAGGAAGAGGAAGAGAAGGAGGATGAGAGGACAGAAAGGGATAAAGAAAGAGAAAAATGGAAGTGAAGCGAAGGAAAGAGAATGAAGAAAGGAACTGGAGGAGCAGGAGGTAAGGGTAAGGGGAGGGAAGAGAAGAGAAGAGAAGAGAAGAGAAGAGAAGAGAAGAGAAGAGAAGAGAGGGAGAAGGAGAGAAGAGAAGGAAGAGAAGGAGGAGGAAGAAAGGGATAACGAAAGAAAAAATGGAAGTGAAGAGAAGGAAAGAGAAGAAAGGAAGAGGAGGAGCAGGAGGAAAGTATAGAAGGAAGGAAGGAAGGAAGGAAGGAAGGAAGGAAGGAAGGAAGGAAGGAAGGAAGGAAGGAGAGGAAGGAGAGGAAGGAGAGGAAGGAGAGGAAGGAGAGGAAGGAGAGGAAGTAAGGGTAAGGGTAAGGGTAAGGGTAAGGGTAAGGGTAAGGGGAGGGAAGAGAAGAGAAGAGAAGAGAAGAGAAGAGAAGAGAAGAGAAGAGAAGAGAAGAGAAGAGAAGAGAAGAGAAGAGAAGAGAAGGAGGATGGGAGGAAAGAAAGGGATAAAGGAAGAGAAAAACAGAAGTGAAGTGAAGGAAAAAGAAGGAAGAAAGGAAGGGGAGGAGTGGGAGGAAAGTATGGAAGGAAGGAAGGAAGGAAGGAAGGAAGGAAGGAAGGAAGGAAGGAAGGAAGGAGAGCTAAGGAGGCTGGAGGAAAGAAAGGGATAAAGGAAGAGAAGAATGGAAGAGAAGGAGTGGGAGAAAAGTAAAGAAGGAAGGAAGGAACGGGTAGAGAAGAGAAGAGAAGAGAAGAGAAGAGAAGAGAAGAGAAGAGAAGAGAAGAGAAGAGAAGAGAAGAGAAGAGAAGAGAAGAGAAGAGAAGAGGAGGTTGGGAGGAAAGAAAGGGATAAAGGAAGAGAATAATGGAAGAGAAGGAAAGGAAAGAGTAGGAAGAAAGGAAGGGGAGGAGCAGGAGGAAAGGAAGGAAGGAAGGAAGGAAGGAAGGAAGGAAGGAAGGAAGGAAGGAAGGAAGGAGGGTGGGAGAAAGAAGGAGAAGGAAGAGAAGAATTGGCAATGACCATCACTTCCGCTTCCACGCTTGACCGGCGCTCACTGCCCGGTTCCTGTCGGCACGAAAGCCTAAGATATTGACGTTGCACAGAGCCCACCCGAGTCGCGCTTTTTTCGCACCCGTGTCAGCTTGCTCATTGACATGCTACGAGTATCCCCTGTACTCATGCCAGCTTGTACATGTCTTCCAGCCGGGGCCACTCTAGAGAGCACACCCTCGGAGGGCGATCGTGGACTCGAAAGTGGCGAAGCGGGCGAAGTCGGGGAGGCGCCAGGAGGTGGTCTTCTGGGCCCAGTCCACCTGGAAGATGGCCTCGCCCTCGAACTCGTCCAGGTACTCGCCCGCCTCCGTCTCCGCCGCCTTGGGACCCGCCGGGAAGTTCTCCTGGAAGAAGCGCAGCCCCACGTAGTCCGCCTCTGCTGCAGAGAAGAAGACAAGAGAACAAGGCGTCGGGAAGCGGGAGAAGAGAAGAGAAGAGAAGAGAAGAGAAGAGAAGAGAAGAGAAGAGAAGAGAAGAGAAGAGAAGAGAAGGAGGATGGGAGGAAAGAAAGGGATAAAGGAAGAGAAAAACGGAAGTGAAGTGAAGGAAAAAGAAGGAAGAAAGGAAGGGGAGGAGTGGGAGGAAAGTATGGAAGGAAGGAAGGAAGGAAGGAGAGGTAAGGAGGCTGGAGGAAAGAAAGGGATAAAGGAAGAGAAGAATGGAAGAGAAGGAGTGGGAGAAAAGTAAAGAAGGAAGGAAGGAACGGGTAGAGAAGAGAAGAGAAGAGAAGAGAAGAGAAGAGAAGAGAAGAGAAGGAGGTTGGGAGGAAAGAAAGGGATAAAGGAAGAGAATAATGGAAGAGAAGGAAAGGAAAGAGTAGGAAGAAAGGAAGGGGAGGAGCAGGAGGAAAGGAAGGAAGGAAGGAAGGAAGGAAGGAAGGAAGGAAGGAAGGAAGGAAGGAAGGAAGGAGAGGGAAGGAGGGTGGGAGGAAGGAAGGAGAGGGAAGGAGGGTGGGAGGAAAGAAAGGATGAAGGAAGAGAAGAATGGAAGAGAAGGGAAGGAAGAAAGGAAGAGAAGGAGTGGGAAAAAAGTAAAGAAGGAAGGAAGGAAAGGGTAGAGAAGAGAAGAGAAGAGAAGAGAAGAGAAGGAGAATGGGAGGAAAGAAAGGGATAAAGAAAGAGAAAAATGGAAGTGAAGTGAAGGAAAGAGAAGGAAGGAAGGAAGGAAGGAGAGGGAAGGAGGGTGGGAGGAAAGAAAGGGATAAAGGAAGAGAAGAATGGAAAAGAGAGGAAGAGAGGGAAGAAAGGAAGAGGAGGAAAAATATGCCTGTCAACCCCACAGTTTGGAAGGCTTAAGGATCACCGCTCTGTCTTTATAGTCTTTTTTTAAAGTGAAGAGAATGGTCTCTTGAAAAGGAAACTCACCCGAAAAGAGGAAAACAATAAACGTCAATGGCAGAAAGACTCTTCCTTGCTGGAGGCTGATGCCAATTGGCGGAGGATGCCTTTCCATCCTGAGGCAAGGAAGTCCAGAATGCCCACCGTCCATGGGCCTGCTTTGCTCTCAACCAGAGACAACATGTAGAATGGAGACAACTCTTGAACAATGCTGATGTGGGTATTATTTTTTTCTTATTACGAAAACTTCTGCAAACTTTCCGCCTCATCCCCTCCCATCCTCTGCCTCAACTTCCTCTTTTTAAAATAAGAGATGATTTTCATTTCTTGGCTGCTTCGTCCTTTAGTAGCCCCAGCGGGAGACGAGTGCTCTTCTTGCCTTCACTGGTGATCTTGGTGGTTTTCCTGTAGTGGGTTGCTTGGCCAATTGTGGGACACGACACTGGCTTCGATAGGCCTGGTCCAGAAGGAGTGTTTCTCCCATCCTTATCTCCTTCCCCAGATGGGGACAACGGCCTATTAAAGACTGGCAGGGAAGCTCATGTTGGGTACTTTTTATTTATTTAATTACAGCATTTATATTCTATTCTTCTCACCCCAAAGGGAACTCAGAGCAGATCACAGAACACATACACACAGGTAATTTTTAATGGTAAGCAAACAGTATTTTGGCGCCGCCCCACCAACCAGTCACTGATATATATTTTCTGTTCGTTGTGGGAGTACTGTGTGCCATATTTGGTTCAATTCCATCATTGGTGGAGTTCAGAATGCCCCCCTCCCCCAACCCGACCGGTGTTCACTTTTGGGCATATTGAGTATTCATGCCAAGTTTGGTCCTGATCCATCACTGTTTGAGTCCACATTGCAGTCTGGAGATAGGTGAACTACAACTCCAAAACTCAACGTCAATGCCCACCAAACCTAGTATTTTCTATTGGTCATGGGAGAACTGTGTGCCAAGTTTGGTTCAATTCCATCATTGGTGGAGTTCAGAATGCTCTTTGATTGTAACTGAACTACGAATCTCAGCAACTACAACTCCCAAATGACAAAATCAATCTTCCCCCCCAACCCCACCAGTATTCAAATGTGGGCGAATCAGGTATTTGTGCCAAATTTGGTTCAGTGACAGAGGGAGCTCATTTGCACTCTCATAGAATCATAGAATCAAAGAGTTGGAAGAGACCTCATGGGCCATTCAGTCCAACCCCCTGCCAAGAAGCAGGAATATTGCATTCAAATCACCCCTGACAGATGGCCATCCAGCCTCTGTTTAAAAGCTTCCAAAGAAGGAGCCTCCACCACACTCCAGGGCAGAGAGTTCCACTGCTGAACGGCTCTCACAGTCAGGAAGTTCTTCCTCATGTTCAGATGGAATCTCCTCTCTTGTAGTTTGAAGCCATTATTTTGCGTCCTAGTCTCCAGGGAAGCAGAAAACAAGCTTGCTCCCTCCTCCCTGTGGCTTCCTCTCACATATTTATACATGGCTATCATATCTCCTCTCATCCTTCTCTTCTTCAGGCTAAACATGCCCAGCTCCTTAAGCCACTCCTCATAGGGCTTGTTCTCCAGACCCTTGATCATTTGAGTCGCTCTCCTCTGGACACATTCCAGCTTGTCAATATCTCTCTTGAATTGTGGTGCCCAGAATTGGACACAATATTCCAGGTGTGGTCTAACCAAAGCAGAATAGAGGGGTAGCATGACTTCCCTAGATCTAGACACTATGCTCCTATTGATGCAGGCCAAAATCCCATTGGTTTTTTTGCCGCCACATCACATTGTTGGCTCATGTTTAACTTGTTGTCCACGAGGACTCCAAGATCTTTTTCACACGTACTGCTCTCGAGCCAGGCCCCATTCTGTATCTTTGCATTTCGTTTTTCCTGCCAAAGTGGAGTAGCTTGCATTTGTCACTGTTGAACTTCATTTTGTTAGTTTTGGCCCTTCATCTCTCTAATCTGTCAAGATCGTTTTGAATCCTGCTCCTGTCCTCTGGAGTATTGGCTATCCCTCCCAATTTGGTGTCGTCTGCAAACTTGATGATCCTGCCTTCTAGCCCTTCATCTAAGTCATTAATAAAGATGTTGAACAGGACCAGGCCCACCCTCTGGGTTCGTCCATTTAACCAATTACAGATCCACCTCACCGTAGTTTTGCCTAGCCCACATTGTAGGTGAACTATACATCCCAGTAACTACAACTCGCATATGTCAAGGTCTATTTTCCCCCAAGAGCGCCTCAAGAGTGCCCCTGGGCAAAATCAACTATACTGCAAATGCTTACTTTGCGTAATGGGTTGCCAAGGCTCCCCCCGGACTGCTAGGGCTGTTGTGAGGCGAGGGAATGCTCCTCAAGTGGCGGTTGAGGGGCATTTACAGAGGTGCCTCTGCGCCCCTGGCAAAAAAAAAATGTACTGCGACCGCTTACTTTGCGTAATGGATGAACCGCCCCTGCATACACGTCAAACATTCGATGCTGTTAGACATACAGGACAGACAAACAGAGGTAAGTGTCTTGACAGTTTTCCAACTTTGGCATCCTGGAGGTTATGCTCAATTCTGACCACAGGCGGTGCTGTCGTTCCATCCTCTATGATGACAAGCTTATTGATCACAGTCTTTTGATCGTGCCATTACTGCTCAAGCAGGGAGCTTTGAAATGGTAGAACAGAAGCGCTCCGAAGCTCTAGGTTTCTCCCATTCTCCCTCCATTTGTGCCTCTTCAAATTCTGCAGCACTGCTGGTCACAGCTGACCTCTAGTTGCCACATGATTTTGAGGCAACCGTCTAGTAATGGTGAGGCAGGGGACCATAATTTTGTGGTTGCAGACCACTGGTGGTCCACGGATCACAGGTTGGGAACCACTGCTCAAATCTAATCCATTCCTTTAACCAACTAAAGCCTACTGCTTCATAACCGTATCTAAAATCTGGATGACTTCTATACATTGACTTGTGAAAAGTTACATTTTTTGTGTTACACCTCTCCTCTGACTCTTGCTGGATGGAGGATTCCGAGAACCAAATTACAGACTTTCCCAAGTTCTGCAAATGGAGAGAGCGAAATAAAGAACGACAACAAATATATGTCATTCAATCATGATTCTTTAATCTTATGTTTCTTCTCTATATGGGACAGAAAGCAGGTGACATTCATGCCTGAATCAATTAAACCCAAAATCTAGTCGGAAGCATCCGCTGCATTGATTTATAGGAGTCTGGAACCTATAGTCCAAAACATCGGGGAATCCACAGTTTGGGAAACATTGGCTCTTGTTTCGGATCTAAAAACCGATGCTAAGAAGCTGGTTGAAGGGTAGGAGTCATTGAGCATCTTCCATCAATCGGGAAATGCATTCATTCCGATCTCTCCGAAGCTCTTCTCATTTCTTCTCCGGCAACTTCCCAATGACTCCTTTCACCCAAGGGCTTTCGGGGTTGACGCAGATGCGTTTGCCGTTCTTCAAAACAAGCCTGAAAGGGGGAAAATACATATTCGGTCTAATGAGGAGATGATCAAATGGCACACTTTGAATTGCCTTTCGTTGGAGTCGAGAGAGCTTAATAAATAGCAAGAGCAACACATAGTGGACTTACACGAGAGCGTTTAAGTAGCAGTCGCTGGTGGTCCTATAGTAAGAAGCCATGATGTTGGCACGGAGGGGTCTCCCTTTCCGGACGGCAAAGCAACACTCCTTGGGGCAGCTGGGACACATGGCTACAAGAAGGTAAGGGTGAAAAAGACATCATTTTGACAAAGCAAATGGCATGAATTCCTGCAAATAGCATATAGTCAAAGAATTGGAAGAGACCCCCAAGTGCCATCTAGACCAGCGGTTCTCAACCTGGGGGTCGCAACCCCCAGGGGGGTCGCCTGGCCATTTCGGAGGGGTCGCGAGATCACCTCCGTTGGCCCCGCTCCAAGGGCGCAGGCCGGGTGAGGGCTTCTTCGCCTGCTGTGAACTCCCACTCTTCTCCAACGCCACATTTCAAATAAGTTGATCTCTTCCTATCAGCTTCGTGCAAAGCCTCCTCGCCCGCCTCCCACTTTCGCCATTCGGTGAGGGCGAGAGGCGGGTGAGGGGGACCCGGCGTGAGGCCTAGCGTCACGCCAAGCCTCCTCACCCGCCTCCCCCTTTCGCCGTCATTGGGATCCCTGAGCTGGTCGCAGGACCATCTGTTGACCATAGGGCGTCTGTGTGGTAAGTTTGGATCAATTTTATTATTGGTGGGGTTCAGAATGTCTTTGATTGCAGTTGAACTCTAAATCCCAGCAAGTATAGCTCCCAAATGTCAAGGTCTATTTTCACCAAACTCCACCACTGTTCACGTTTGGCCATAATGAGCATCCATGCCAAGTTTGGCCCAGATTTGTCATTGCTTGAGTCCACAGTGCTCTCTGGATGTAGGTGAACTACAACTCCAAAACTCAATTCCCATCAAATCCTTTCAGTATTTTCTATTTGTAATGGAGTTCTGTATGACAAGTTTAGTTCAATTTCATCATTAGTGGAGTTCTGAATGCACTTTGATTGTAGGTGAACTATAAATCCCATCAACTACAACTCCCAAATGACAAAATCTCACCCCCCCAACCCCAGCAGTATTCAAATTTGGGCCTGCATATCAGATATTGACATATACAACCTGCATATCAGATATTGACATTACGATTCATAACAGGAGCGACATTACAATTATGAAGTAGCAATGAAAATAATTTTATGGTTGGGGGTCACCACAACATAAGGAATTGTATTAAGGGGTCACGGCATTAGAAAGGTTGAGAACCACTGATCTAGACCAACCCTCTTCCACCAGGAAGGAAGGCACAATCGCATTGGCCTTTTTGGCTGCCACATCAAACATTTCGCTCATGTTCATCTTGTGCTCAACTAAGCGTTTCTCAGTCACCAACTCCCTTTCACCGTTGTTGTTGTTGTTGTTCTTATATTTATATTCTGCAATTGTTCAACATACTGCCCAATCCTCCTATTGTGTCATGCAATGAAAGTATTCGAAAGAATCCTGGACCAAAGGCTACGAAGTCACACAGCCGTTACACCAAATCAGTGTGGCTTTGCAGGGGTTGTGGCACAATAGATGCAATATATGCAGTTACTCATAGAAAAACATTGGGAAAAGAAGAAACCACTGCACTTTGCATTCCTTGATCCTGAAAAAGTATTTGATCAAGTTTCTCCTGATCTAGCAAGCATTATAGTCACATGAAATAACTGAAGACTATGTAACAGAGATAAAGCTACGATACATGGATACATGGATGGATGGATGGATGGATGGATGGATGGATGGATGGATGGATGGATGGGTGGATGGGTGGATGGGTGGATGGATACTACAGCACTACATTTGGAGATTGTAGGACAACAACCACGTGGACAAAGGCCAAAGAAAAGATGGATGGACACCATCAACAAAGACATGTGCACTGCCACCCTAAGACCTGAGGGTGCCCAAAACAAAGCCCTGTGGAAACGACAGTCATAATGCTCACCCCTCCATTGGGAAAATAGCTCAGAAAGAAGAAGGTGGATGGATAGATGGATAGGGATGAATAGATGGATGAATTGATTGATGGATTGATGGACTGATGGATAAATAGATTGATGGATAAATGGATGGATGGATGGATGGATGGATGGATGGATGGATGGATGGATGGATGGATAAATAAACAGATGGGTGGATGGGTGGGTGGATGGATGGATGGATGAATAAATAGACGGATGGATAAATAGATGGATGGGTGGATTAATAGATGGATGGGTGGATGGATTGATAAATGGATGGATGGATGGATGGATAAATAAATAGATGGGTGGGTGGGTGGATGAATTAATAGATGGAGGGATAAATGGATGGATGGATGGATGGATGGATGGAGGATTAATAGATGGATGGGTGGATGGATTGATAAATGGATAGATGGATGGATGGATTGATTGATTGACGGATTGATTGATTGACGGATTGATGGATGGATGGATTGATGGATAAATAAATAAAGAGATGGGTGGATGAATAAATAAATAGATGGATGATGGTTGGTTGGATGAATAGATGAATGGGTGGATGGATGGATGGATGGATGGATGGACAGATAAACACATGGATGGATTAATAGATGGATGGATGGATGGATGGTTGGATGGTTGGATGGATGGATAAACCACCTTGAGTCGCCGACAGGCTGAGAAAGGCAGTATACAAATACAATAAATAAATAAATAAATAAATAAATAAATAAATGGGTGGGTGGGTGGGTGGGTGATGGATGGATGAATAAATAAATGGATGGATGGATGGATGGATGGATGGATAGATAGATACTACAGCACTACATTTGGAGATTGCAGAATGATGGCCACATGGACAAAGGCCATAGAAAAGATGGATGGACACCATCAACAGAGACATGTGTGCTGTCAACCTGGAACTTGAGGATGCCCAAAACAAAGCCCTGTGGAAACTACAGTCACATGCTAAACCCTCCATTGGGAAAATAGCTTAGAAAGAAGAAGATAGATAAAGAGATTGATGAATGGATGGACCACTATGAAAAGCTTAAAAAAGGATTACATATAAACAGTATAAAAATTCCCCGGTTATATGGCAATAAAGATATAGAGATGTAGACCTCAGGAGAGAAATATCATCTCTATCTCTCTCTGTATATCACTATGCTGAAATTCTATTCCAACCAAAGCCGGGCACGCTTGATGACGGTGCCTCCATTTCTTTGCAAATTTCGAACTAAATGCATCTTAAATGTGCAAGTTTCTCTCCCAAGACTGACCTGCAACCTGTTGGTAGAAGAGAGCCAGGAGAAGTGTCAAGAAGAGAGCGGTTTTCAGAGCAGCCATGCTTGGAGTCCTTGGAAAATGTAGGTCTTCTGTGTCTTCGTCCTTCCTCTCCCTCTTGTCTCGTCTAGCTGGAAATGGTGAGCATGGAGACCAAACTGTGCGCTTAATATACCCTGCAGTCGACTCCCACCATCTCCAGGTTGAAATTCCCAGGGATATTCCTGTTATTTTACTCCGAGAGCAACGGGGATTTTGAGGGAAGCACCAAATGCCACTTCAGAAAAAAGCAGAACAACTAGTTTCTGAATTTCTAAGAAAGGGAGACCAAGACCAACTGTCTGGGACCAAAGGGACAATATGACTGTGCCAACTCTCGAAACGAAATGAGACTCGCACCCTCTGTTTTGAAAGAGCAAGGAGCCAAAATAATAAGATTGAGTTGTCAATGATGTCAAGCACACCCCCCCCCCCCCAAATAAGGGATAGTGACATAGTTCTGCAAAGGGCAAGGGCACCAGACTACACAACAAGGGTTAAGTCTTGGTCACATTGCCAAGGCACTAACAACAACAAGGACCCCACGAGGCTTTTGGGAAATGGCTGGATCTTGGGACTTCTGCCCTTTGCGGGAGCTGTAGTTTCCAAGGACCGAGTGATGGACTTTGGTGCTCTTTTCAACTCAGCGCCCATCTGTTGGCTTCTGCCTGTTAAAAAGGGACTCTTTGCTGCATGATTTTGGCCATTTGCCGCCCCCGTTTCCACGAACCTTCTGCCGGGGCATGGGATTTCTAGTTTCCTTTTTTTTCTCTTTTAAATAAAAGCTTGACATTTTAATAAAAATGAAGATGTGGGGTGGGAAGGGATTCTTTTTGTATGATCTTGTCTAAAATAATGCTGTATGAATTGTATTCTGTTTTCCATCTTTCTTTTTGACTTTTGCCCCACAAAAGTGATCAGAAACTGCTGCTAGGCTCGAGGAAGATTCCTATCTCCCTCGAAACCCAGATTGTTGATTGATTCACCTACACAACACAATAGTCACCAACCCTTGTCTCGCCTTCTGAGCCGGCTAGCGAGATAAGGAATTCCATGGGATTTTGGAAAAGGAAATAATTAAGAAATCGCAAAGGGCAACGTTGATCCCTTGAGGTCCGCAGCCCGAATTTGTTGATTCTCCCCCCAAAAAGCCCATCAGGAACAGGAAATCTTTGTTTGCTACCCTCACACTTTGCCAGCCAAAGATAATGCTCCACATTCCAACCGGCCAGCTATCCGTGATCCCATCATCTCCCCATTGTTTTGAGTGAGATCATCCCGCCTCCCCTCTCCTGATTCGTCCATTCCTAGGAGCGAGAGGAATGCGCTGATTGGCTCGGGAGCGGGGCTGGCTGCCAAGCCTCCTCCCAGCTGTTCGGCCATCAGCCAATCAGCAAAAAGCCGGCCGGCAAGGGGGCGGGCGGGAATTTTGAAACCTTTTCCTTTGAATTTTCGTCTATAAAAATGCTTGTAACATGCCTAGCTTTATGCTTGTGGTGGAATTATTCCTACAATGCATCCGATCTCAGCTGAATCGCTAATAAAACACCTCGATTGCTTGGAACTTCTTCCACTTTGGTGAAGTATTATTATTTTTAATATTTTTAATCGCTGAAATTGGCTTCGCCTGGCTTCACCAAGGTTTTTAAGGACCCTTTTGGCGCGGTCCTCAGGGATCTCCCTTGCTGGGAAGACCCTCCACAAAAGCAGCTCGATATCATCTTGCCTTCTGGGATTCATCTACAATGGAGTTTGACACCACTTGATCAGATATGGCTCAATGCGATGGGAACGTGGTCAACTATCAGGGAAAGATTTTATTGTATTGTCGAAGGCTTTCATGGCTGGAATCACTAGGTTCTTGTGGGTTTTTTCGGGCTATATGGCCATGTTCTTGAGGCATTTTCTCCTGACGTTTCGCCTGCATCTATGGCAAGCATCCTCAGAGGTAGTGAGGTCTGTTGGAACTAGGAAGACAATGGGTTTATATATCTGTGGAATGGCTGGGGTGGGGCAAAGAGCTCTTCTCTGCTGGAGCTAGGTGTGAATGTTTCAACTGACCAGCTTCATTAGCATTTGAAGGCCTGGCTGAGCCTGGGAAAATCTTTTGTTGAGAGGTGTTAAGATGTGCCTGGTTGTTTCCTCTCTGCTGTTTTGCTGTTGTAATTTTAAGTTTTTTTAATACTGGTAGCCAGATTTTGTTCATTTTCATGGTCTCCTCCTTTCTGTTATGGCCATGTTCTAGAGGCATTTTCTCCTGACGTTTCGCCTGCATCTATGGCAAGCATCCTCAGAGGTAGTGAGGTCTGTTGGAAATAGGACAATGGGTTTATATATCTGTGGAATGGCTGGGGTGGGGCAAAGAGCTCTTCTCTGCTGGAGCTAGGTGTGAATGTTTCAACTGACCACCTTCATTAGCATTTGAAGGCCTGGCTGAGCCTGGGAAAATCTTTTGTTGAGAGGTGTTAAGATGTGCCTGTTTGTTTCCTCTCTGCTGTTTTGCTGTTGTAATTTTAGAGTTTTTTAATACTGGTAGCCAATCACTGGGTTGTTGTAGTTTTTTTTTCGGGCTATATGGCCATGTACTAGAGGCATTCCCTCCTGACGTTTCACCTGCATCTATGGCAAGCATCCTCAGAGGTAGTGAGGTCTGTTGGAACTAGGAAAATGAGTTTATATATCTGTGGAATGACTGGGGTGGGGCAAAGAGCTCTTCTCTGCTGGAGCTAGGTGTGAATGTTTCAACTGACCACCTTCACTAGCATTTGAAGGCCTGGCTGAGCCTGGGAAAATCTTTTGTTGAGAGGTGTAAGCTGTGCCTGGTAGCCAGATTTTGTTCATTTTCATGGTCTCTTCCTTTCTGTTGAAATTGTCCATGAAAATGAACAAAATCTGGCTACCAGTATTAAAAAACTCTAAAATTACAACAGCAAAACAGCAGAGACATAGCCATTTCTCTTCTTCATTTCTTTTGTCTGCAATTTATTCCAGGGCGAAACTACATTGCAGATGGGTTGTTGTAGGTTTTTTGGGCTATATGGCCATGTTCTAGAGCAGTGTTTCTCAACCTTCCTAATGCCGTGACCCCTTAATACAGTTCCTCATGTTGTGGTGACCCCCAACCATAAAATTATTTTCATTGCTACTTCATAACTGTAATTTTGCTACTGTTATGAATTGTCATGTAAATATCTGATATGCAGGATGTATTTTCATTCACTGGACCAAATTTGGCACAAATACCCAATATGCCCAAGTTTGAGTACTGGTGGGGTTGGGATGGGAGGATTGGTGGGAGAATGGGAGGATGGGGTTCAGTGGGCATTGACCTTGAGTTTGGGAGTTGTAGTTCAGCTACATCCAGAGAGCACTGTGGGCTCAAACAATGATGGGTCTGTACCAAACTTGGCACAAATAATATGCCCAAATATTTACACTGGTGAAGTTTGGGGGAAATAGAGCTTGACATTTGGGAGTCGTAGTTGCTGGGATTTATAGTTCACCTACAATCAAAGAGCATTCTGAACCCCACAAATGATAGAATTGGGCCAAACTTCCCACACAGAATCCTGATGCCCAACAGACAATACTGTGTTTTCTTATGGTCTTTGGCGACCCCTCTGACACCCCCTCACGACCCCCTCAGGGGTCCCGACCCCCAGGTTGAGAAACACTGGTCTAGAGGCATTCTCTCCTGACGTTTCCAGCATAGTTTTATGGTCAGTTTCTGGCACAATTTTCAGCAGAAGGTGACCACAGAATTGCACTGGCCAACCTATTTGTTGTTGTTGTTGTTGTTGTTGTTGTTGTTGTTGTTGTTATACTAGCTTTGGGACCCAGTGTTGCCTAGGTTATTTAACAAAGTCATGTTTTGTTTTTCAAAATGCATAAAGTTGTGGGTGTGATATCGAGCTATTTTAGGGGGCTCTTCCCGGGAGGAGAGCCCAAGGACCGCACCAAAGAGGGCCCGGATACCTTGGCGAGATTTCTCCGGAAGCCAATCCAAGAGCGCAAAAAGTATTAAAATCAAATAATCTCACCAGGCGAAAGGAGTCCAGCGACCGAGGCGTTTATTTGCGATTCAGCTGAATGGATGCAATACAGGAATCATTCCACTGCAGAGCATGCAGCACGAGAACATACAAGCACTTTTATACAGTGAAGAACAAAGAAAAGCAGTTTGAAAATCCCGCCCGCCCCCCTGTCAGCCGGCTTCACGCTGATTGGCTGAGGCTGGAACAGCTGGGAGGAGGTAATCCCGCCCTCCCCCGTCAGGAGCCAATGGGAGCGTTTCTCTGCCTCGGGAGGGCCAATGGGCGCCCTCCGCTCGCTTCCTGGGCCCTGGCCAATCAGGAGCGAGGAGGCGGGACAGCCGTGGACAATGGGGGGAGAGATGATGGAATTTGGGATTTCCTGCCCGCTGGAATGCGGGCCATTGTCCCAGGTGATGTTTGTCAAACAAAGGCTTTCCTGTCCTTAATGGGTCTGGCAAGTGATATGAATAGCTGGGTCGAAATCGGACCGCCCGGAGGATCAACAATTTCTGAGTGAATCAATCAGTCTTTTATTCCGAGGCTCTGCTGACCCTGCCCTCCTTCGTTGGCCTTGCTCCGAAGACGAAATTGGGGGGCCAGCAGCATTGTCCATGCAAAATGAGTCAATCAATGGGTGATTTGGGGGAAAGAGGCTTGGGCTCTTTCCCTCAGGCAGTTCCTGGTCAGGCTGGCTTCATGGGGTAAAAGGTCAAGGGGGGCGAAGACACAGGGGAGTTCATTGAGGGATACATATTTCATAATTACAAAATACAGGCATCATCCATATACAGGCATTTCATGTATCACAACCCACCACCCATCCCAACCCTTCATCCATGAGAAAGTATTTCATTTTTATTTCATTTCATAAAAAGGAAAAGAAAGTCTAGAGATCCCAAAAGCCTGGACGGAGGGGTTTGGAGGCAGGGGCCAGCCTATGGCTTAGGCTGGCCATCAGAAGATCAGTTCATTATTGAAACAGGAGCTGGAGCTAAGGGGGAGCTACGTTCCGCTGTCCCGTCCTTGGTGGAACTAGCGCTCCCAACCGGGGATCGGGCCTTCCCTGCCCGGTCCCCACTTCCAAGGCTTCCTCTTGGGCAATCGGGGTTGATTGCAGGCGGCGGGAACCATGCTGGAGCGAGCAGCGACGAGGGGAGTGAAGCAAGCGGC